GAAATACGAAACGCACAAACGCATCAGGTTAAGATGACATAGTAACAGATCTTCTTAAATGCAGGAGACGAATTTTACAAAGGATTAGCGTGACTAATCCAGGGATTAGTAAGGTAAAAGATAAAGTGTCTCAAAACTACAGCCTAGTAATAGTAATCTTACTTAATTTTATAAAGTATATAATCTATAAAGACTTTGGTGATAAAGGTATTGCCTAGTATCGGCGTTTTGCGTTATTATCGAATATATACAAATGATTCTCAGAATTACTTATATACAGATTAAGAAATACCCTAGATAAAAACAACTATGCGGGCTTTAAAAGTGGTTATTTAACAACAAACCATCTACAAAAGAAAAGGGCACCTGATGTAAAAAAATATCCAACGGAATATATAAAACCCCTTTGTTGAGGTTTAGGTAACTATGAGAAGCTAACCCAACTCTGAAGACGCAGGATTACGAGAGCAGGGTATCAATGGACAGTATCTAAAGTTTTCTAAGAATATATATATATATATATATATATATATATACATACGAATAGAACTGCAATAATCTAAGAGGACAGACAAAGCAAAGATTGGGAAACGAATGAGACATGAGGATACATTTTTACTTAAACTATTTACAGCAGGTTTTGAAAGAATATTTAAACCATCTATGATTTGATGACAATATTTTACTAATATCCAAATCCCCAGATTATAAGAAATTCTAAACGGCCTCAAGTGGGGACAGTTTCAATGTCAACTTACAAATGGACAGGAATAAAGCAAGCCTGATGTTCAACTGTGACGTTATGAAAAAATGATATAAATAATTGAGTAATTGGGAGAAGTCCAAGAATGGATCCACTTATGGTAGGTGATATCAAAAAGATCATAAAAATGAATTCATTGATTGATTTGCTTTTTACGGGTTATCAACCCTTTGTTACTTAAACATATTTCGGGTTGTAAGAGATTGCATACAGTAGCGGGTATTCATGAGCGATACCCCATCCAAGTTGTTTTCAGGTTCAACACCGCTTAACTTCGGTGATTGGACGTGAAACTGTGATTCCAGTGTGATTCAGCCGTAATCCCGTGGAAATGAAATAAAACGATGTATAGCGATAGGGTGGAAAATATTCATGAAAAAAAAACCCAGAGATATAATAAAAAGCACCTTGTCAATATGTTTAAAATGTACAATGCCTGATGAAAGATATAATGTCAGTTACAATGTTTGAGTACAAAACACGTAAATCAACAAAATCACTTGAAAACAAAACCAACAATGCAAAAATAATCAATAAAAAGGTTAATTCTAAGGTCTGATCTCAAAAACCGAAAAGTGGATAACATGGCGCAGAGAAGAGACCAGAACAAGATGTTATCATAGACGGGATTAAATAAAATGGTGGCGAACGGGATGCATAGCTAAAAGAAAAGATAACAGATGGAGCAAAAGATTGCTTGATTAGTAACTAGTGCGTAATAAACGCAACATGAAAAGGCTTAACAGAAGATGTAGCCATAGAATAGAGCATTTGGTAATACATGGTAGAGAATATCACACTCATGATCGTCATGGAAGGGCTTGGTCCTGCTGTCGACTAGCAATGTTTGATCATTTTTATTATTTTAATAATGAAACATGCGTACCTTTTTTTTTTAAATATTATATGCGCCGTTTTTAAAATTACTGAATTCTTCCGAAGTCAGAGATCTTTCACTCCACCCCATTAATGGAATATCCTTTCACCCCACCACCTTAATAGAACATCCTTTCACCTCCCCTTAATGGAACATCCTTTCGAACCCCCTCCCTTTAAAAAAAATATGTTCCAGAACATCACCAGCGAATTCGTTTATAAAGCAATTGGGCATCTTTTAAAGCAAAAATAGGCCTCTCTTGAACTTCTTACGCCCGGCAGCATCAATTTTACAAGATCATTGGCAACAAGCTGAGTTGCAGTTTTAGTTATTTCTGAATAAAGTGTGGAATTTGTATGTTTCTATTATAAAGCGGGAAATACTTTTAAACGTAACAACGGTTTTTTTCCTATAAAAATTAATATATATATATATATATATATATATATATATATATATATATATATATACATGTATTCTATTCTATATTTAGGGATAAAATCTGGCAAATTATGAATGCCTGTATTTAGGCTATATGCAGTAAATAATCTTGGTCCACGATTTATTTCACCTTAAGCCAGATGGTCTAAATATTTTAAGCAATAAATAAATAAATAAAAATAATATAAAAATCATTATTCCTATATTAGATATCGTTATTACAAAAAATAGTCCAATATGAAACGTTGGCTGGAAAAATTGATCTGAGAAGAGTTTAAGAAGGGAGATAACTAAACAAAATTAATCAGGAATGCTTCAAAAACCGATATATATATTTTCAGATTTCTAATTAGTTTCTCGATGTTAAGATGAAATTCATCAAGGGAGGCGCCGTAGTTTTTTTCTACCCAAGTACTTTCTATCTCCTCCAAGATCATTCTTAAGGGTGAATTACAAAGACAAACTTATTGTAACTGTGGTTGTTGGGATGTTGATTAAAAAAACAAAAAAAAAACACGCGTGAACGCGCTGTTATAATTATTTTTAAATTTTAAATTTATCCATTGTATCAATGTGAATTTTGCAAAACTAACGAGAGCTAACCAGAAATTGGTAGAAATGAAAATGGCATTAAATATTTGTTAAATGCACTTCAAGACGTTGCTGCTATACTCGTAATAAATTTTGTTGTGTTTTGGTTGCTTGTTTTCGATATAGCGAGCGTTTTGCATTTCTGCTTAGCTCCCTTAAATTGGGACGCTTGTTTTGCAAAAATTTCCATAGCTACAATAGATAAGTTTAAAATTTTAAAATAATTATAGCAGTGCGCTTTCACGCGTGTTTTTTTTTTAAATCACCATCCATCGATCACAGTTACAATAAGTTTGTCTTCATAATTCACTCCTGGGGATGATCTTGGAGGAGATCGAAAGCAATTGAGTAGGAATAAATTAAGGCGCCTTCTTTGATGAATTTTATTTTAACATTAAGAAACTGATTAGAGAACTGGAAAGGATTATCATAAAAATAAATTCACATGGTATGCCTATTGTATTCGGTGAAATATGCGTGTGGGTGTGTGTGCGTATTTAGGCAGCAAATTCGTGAATATGAAAGGATTATTATAAAAATAAGCAGACATAATATTTGTAATTTATTCAATCAGACACGCAAACATACACACAAAAATATATATATATATATATATATATATATATATATATATATATATATATATATATATGTATGTATATATTTGTGTATTTAGGCAGCAATCCTTTTTTTCATGCACATTTCATTGAATACGACAGACAAGGTGCTTTGATTTAGTCTTTTATACAATTTCTCGTGTGTTCTAATAATTTTTTTTCTTTTCAGATGATAAATTATATAAAAACTGTCCGAATCTTCTTTTGATCCGAGCGCTTTCGGCTATACATTTAGCCATTTTCAAGGATGAAATATTTTAACTGTTAAATAAGAAATAATATTAACTTTGAACATGGACACAATATCTTGACCGTTTTTGAAAAATGAAAACATTTTATAAAACATACATACAACAAACTATTTCTTATTTTAACAGTTAAAATATTAGTCTGTGGTATTCAATGAAATGTGCGCACACACACACACACACACACACACACACACATATATATATATATATATATATATATATCTTGCGGAAAAAAGTAGTATTCAAGTGATAATCTACTTTGGAAAAATGGTTAAGCATTTAACGAGTGATAAAGATATCAACATGTTGATCTCAAACCTATTATTAATTACTATTAATCCTTAATCATTATTAATAATAGGTTCGAACTTTACTGGTCCTTCTAACAAGCAAATTAATGCATTCATCGATAACAATTTTGATTTTAAATTATTCATCTGGTTTGAAAGAAAAATGTTTGGTTGGACATCAAATATACAGTTAATGTTTTTAATTGAAATCTTAATACAATACTCAATTTATTAGTCTTATAAATCTATTGGTGGTCATAAAAAAAAGCCAGATTCTGTCTTTAAAATTTATTGCCGGATAGATTAGTGCGTAACGCTTTTAGTTCAATCGTGACATTTTATTTCAGGCCAGTTGCACGTAAATTAAACAAAGATTTTGAGGTTCAAATTAAAGTTTTTGATCCATCCATTTAGATGTCCTGATAGTAATTCACAGTCGAATAGAGACAAAAATATTCTATATTATGTGAGAATGAGGCGAAAATAAGAAATTTCAATTTTTTGAGCGGTAAATCACGAATCATTATAGCGAACGACATTGAACCTTATAACTGTTCATCTAATTTAATCTTAAACAGTCATTTTGCAAATAAATATAAGTTCCTGTTGTTTTAGAGCCTAGCGCGACATAGAGCCTGAGTGTCTCGTAAACCTATTTCCACAAGGGCAGTGAGTTCGATCCTTACCAAGGATTTCACTTCTGTTGCTTTGTCCTAGTCTTAACTAACTTTGGTAAATAAAAAGGACTCATAGTTTTAAGGACAGAAGGCGGTGATTTCAACAAATTTGAATTTATTTTGAGGCAAAAGGTTTACTGGAATATTGGAAGGTCACCTGGAAAAAAAAACAAAAAAAAAAACACACAGTTTCAAGTATCCCTTATTTTAAGGAGCTTGATTTTGTCCTCAGTGTCTCATTTAACCTAGATCAAGTAATAAGCAAAACGGGAAGTAAAAAGACATTTTTGTCTTCACATTTTAACCATGAGTTTCATTTGCCTTCTGTGATTTGCTTAAAAACATCTCAATGGAAAATAGTTTATCCAGACACAATCAGATCTTATCAGTTTTTTTTAATCCCTAAATTTATGCATTTAATTTGTATTTTGATTCAAATCTTGAATCTGAAATCAGTTTTTTTATTTATTTTGTAATTCAGTGTCGATCAGTATCAGCTTTGATTTTGAATCGAAGCCACCGAATGCGAACTGGAATTGTTTAGAATGTTTGAAAGTCCAAAACTCGGGTTTATGAGCCCGTGATGAAGACGTTCAGATAAGGAATGTGGACAGTTGCATGGTTTACCCGGTGTAGATCCTGGACAGAGGCCCAAATTTTGGGCCCCCATCAACTGTGAGGCATAGGCATGAGATTGAAAACTCAGCCCGCAGCTGAGTCCCGAGTGTAGAGGGGGAACAGAATGAGATGGTGGCGGTGCAGCGGCTGCAGCGGCCGCCGCTGCAGCCGCTTCAAGTGACAAGGACCGCGTCAACGGTGATGGTATTGTATGTAACAGGTCGGCTCGAGGCTGGATAGGGTTGGCTAAAGTAGGAGTCGGCACTCGTGGTAAGCCAAGCGCGTGATAACCAAGTTGTGCATGGGCAGTTGGCAAACTGTACGGATAGGAAGACATTGCAGCAAAGAATGCAAACATATTCGGATCGGGAACACCGAATGGCCACGTAACTGCCATACGTTGTCTTTTATCTTTCATCCGGCGATTTTGAAACCAAACCTGAAGATATAAAAAAAAAAAAAAAATTAAATTTTAAAATGAAATTACAATAGAATTAATTTAGCATTTAAATTATTACTATTTCAGTTTTCTTTTGCAACAGCCTTTCACTCTTGTTAATTCTACCTTTTGCTTAACGACGATAAACTACATCCGCGTCCTGGGTATAATGATAAACTGCGTCCAACAGCAAGGCCTCTGATAATGTTTTTGAAAAATAATGTTGCCAGCTATATGTTTAATAGTGCTATATAATTAATATATATATATATATATATATATATATATATATATATATATATATATATATATATATATATATATATGGCATTAAATGACCTACAGTGGTTGATATGCCATAAAACCCAACCAACCAACCAACTTTTGCTTAACGTTTCATAGTATTATTTGTTTTTTGGTCACTTCTCTCAGGTCTTTTGTACACGCCATTCCTATTGCATAAGTAGTATGGCCCCGGAAGAAACAATTAACACTCGATCCATATTAATTAATGTACTTAGTGTATAAAAACAACCTGATACTTAGTATAAAAACAATACAAATTAAATGTCAGAAGTAATACAAAAATTAACGATAATAATACTTCATCAATGAAATACAATTTAAATATGTTCGGTATTTTTCATTATTTTTTAAACTGAATATTTTTCTACTTATTAAAACTATGAAAATGTAAATATTTTTGCAAGATTGATGAAATAAATATTTTAATATTATTTTTTTAAACCATGATTATTTAAAATACCAAAAAATGCGATAAAAATGACATTTACCGAGATTGGCTTCTCACGGCACAAAGCTAATTGCGAACCAGTCTTAGGAGATTGTATTATGAAACTTTTTTCAAATATCGGGGCAGATAGTCATGAAATCAATATTAAAAATTCCAGCTTTTTTGCCATTGCTAGGACTAAACATCAATTGCGACAAGACAGAATGCATAGTTGTTAGCAAAAGGGAACAGTTCAACATGCTAACTACAAATTGGAGATGCAAAAATCAAACAAGTACAACATTTTTAATATCTGGAAAGTTTCTAACAGAGGACGAAAAGTGCGATACTGAAATCCGAAGGCACATTGGGATAGCGAAAAATGCCTTCCAAAAGCTAAGCAAAATATTAAGAAAGAGAATTTTCGTTAAAAACAAAGAAAAGAGTACTGGATTGTTACGTAATATCAGTCCTCTTATATGGCAGTGAATACCGGATAATGTCTTCACAGATGAAGAAGAGACTTGAGGCAACAGAAATGTGGTTCTACAGAAGGATACTGGGAACATCATGGACAGAATATGTGAGCAACGACAAAGTTTTAGAGAAAATAGAAACAAAAAAGACATTTATACTTTACATCAGAAAGAGACAGTTGAAATTTCTAGGACCCATAATACGGAAAGAGGGATTGGAGAATTTGATACTCACAGGATAGATTGAAGTCAAAAGGGAGAGAGAGGAAAACAACGTATCTAGTGAGCTTGAGTAAATGAATGGCGAAACAGGGAGAGAGCGAGAGAGAGCACAAAGACAAAATTTATTAAGAGCTGTAAAGAAAAATAAATTGTGGAGAGCCATGATTGCAAACAACCTGAAGGAACCACGGCACATAGAAGAAGAAGAAGAAGAGGAGGAGGAGGAGGAGGAAGAGGAAGAAGAAGAAGAAAAAGAAGAAGAAGAAAAAGAAGAAGAAGAAGAAGAAGAAGAGGGAAGAGGAGGAGATTTGCAACATTTTCAATTCCGAGACAAGTGGTAAATCTAAATCTAAACTGATAAAAAATTCCTCGAATCTCCATTTATATCAGATTTGTATGAAGCACCGTCAAGCATTATTATCACCTTTTTACTCATATTAATTTTCACCTGTATTTTTATTAGATAAAATATTTTCATTCATTATTATTGATTTTTGATTGGTTTTTACTTTCACATTCATTTTTTTATGAAAAACCTTCAACTACTATTTTAGCTCGTATTTGATCTTTATTTTTTTTTAGATAAAACATTGTCAAGCATTTTTGTTAATATTTGGCTTTTATTCATTCATATTCATTTTTATTAGATAAAATATTTTCAATCATTATTAATATTTTATTTTTTTTATTAGATGAAGCTTTCTTAACCATTATTATTAATTTGTGATTGTTTGTTTTTCTTTCATCTTACACCTTTCATCAGTTGGCGAACGCGCAGAAAATGTCAATAAAGTTCCGATAAAAAATTAACTAAAAAATGAAGATGAAAGTAATTGATTTGATTGATTGAGTCATTTTTTATGGCTTATCAACCCTTATTTAAAGCCAGAAAATATTTTTAGATTGTAAGAAAATCTTTAGCGGGGGAGATAATAATGGTTTAGTGATACAAGTTTTACTAATTGACCCATAGCTTGGGGGATAGAGAAGAGGTGAGTTCATGCCTTTCCCGAGGGTATTTGTGCGCTGTTGAATATAAAGAATTCAACAGGAATTAACACTCAGCACTCTAATTAATAATTCCGATGCATTATCCATTGAACCACCCGCATATCCATGATTACAGCACTTGGTATTTGCAAGAGGTTACCCATCTAGGTACTAACCAGGGTCGGCGTTGCTTAACTTCGTTGATTGTACGGGAACCGATGTTTGAACCTTATGACACCGTAAATTGGAGATGAAATTAAGTACTAGTGAAAAATTAATAATAATTTCTCCTAGTTGCTTATGTAACTTGTAATATCAAGAAGAATTTATTCAAGTATTATTCGAAAACTTTTATTCACTCTAATGATTACAAATTTACTAACACTGCAGATTTTATCTTTGGGTGAAGAATTTGATTAGGTTTGAAATTAATCACCGACTCCATATAAACATGGTTGACATCTATAAGATTTTGGCTTTTCATATCACTGTCCATCGACTTTACCATTACTTCAGCATCGCCCCCCACTAATGTTTTAAGCATTTAACCAGTCGCTGCATTAACAAATTATATTTTTGGTAGAAGATAAAAAAAATATATTTACACGCAAAATTTTGCAAAAGTGAAAATGAACTTTGTTTTAATAAGAATCAGTAACCGTCCTGGGTAAGACGATAAACTACATCCGGCAGCAAGGCTTCTGATCAGGAGGTTTTGAGGAGTGTGAATCCACCTCTTAATTGCTGGTGTTCCCAAGTCCACCCTGACCCGGGGTGGTTGCATCTATCAGGGTCCCAACTATGTACAAATTGTTAACCTCACTAAAAGGAGTCAAAACACTATGAAAATGTGAAAATAGGTTTTAATACCACAAATACTTTTTTAGACAGATTATAGCCAGCAGTACATTATTGAAAACAACATATATTACCAGCAATACATTTTTGGAAAAAATATTACCAGCAATAAAAATCTTGTTGGCATTAGATAACCCATTGATGTTGATATGGCGTAAAAGGAACCAAACCAAACCAAGATTTGGTAGACTGTCTTTAGATCCAGAATTGTCAGAGTTAGAAATTAATGTAAGTATTACTGATAGAACATGGATATACTATAGCCCTGTCCTGTTAGTAGCACACTTTAATTCTTGGCCATTAACAATCCCTTTTTTCAGATTTTCAATGATTAAAGCGTGCTACTAACAGGACAGAACTATCATATATTTAATATAATTTGTTTTTTCTTCCCCTAGATGGACTATCTCCCTGGGTTGTCGAGCTCCAGCTACCCCAAGAATATAGTACAGCGTAAATGTATTGATAACTCTTTTAGTATAAAAAAGCTTCGCAAAATATATTACTATAGAATTGTTTTGGTTAGTTTTGGTTTGCTGTGTTTTACGGCATATCAACCTCAATGGGTTATTTAATGCCGACAAAGTTTTTATTGCTGGTAATATTTTTGTTTTGTCAAAAATCTATTTCTGGAAATAATTTTTCCCTCAAAAAAGTATTGCTGGTAATATTTTTTCAAAAACGTATTGTTGGTAATATCTTTTTTTCAAAAATGTATTGATGTTAATAGTTTTTTTTTCTTCAAAATTCCTGGTATTAAAACGCATTTTTATCCCATTTTCGGGGTTAACTATTTGCCCATAGCTGGGACCCTAACAGTGCTACCACCAAGAACGTAGGCATAAGCGATCGTATAAGGAGGCTGTACGCTGCCCAGACTACACCTCCCCTCTCTCCCACTTTCGGCTGTGCCGACAAGATCCAAAGGAATCCAGGGCATTACATTTGGTGACGGCAAGGCCACAGGAGTTCTGGAATGTTGCCACGGTTGACAGCCAACTGCCTTCGGGGTTCTACTCCAGGTATTCTGTATGGATTTACTTCTATAGTCTTTTCCATGTTTGGATATAGCCGCAAGGTAGCAGAGGTTTCAAATCAGGGTTTTCCTTCTCCTAGATGAACTGCCTCCCGGGGCTGTCGAGCTACATCTACCCGAAGATTATAGTATAGGGTAAATGTATTGATAACGGATTTACTATAGAAAAGCTTCACAAAATATATTACTATAGAATTGTAATGTATACGTCATTACTATAGAAACACATTGAAAATCTGAAAAAGGAGATTAAAACGTGCTACTAACAGGACAGGGCTATTAGATATTTAATATAATTTCATTGATAATGATTTTTTACTGCAGAATTGCGCTGAAAATGAGAGAAAAGTAACAATGAGTAACCAAGAATTGAGATTAGCCAAGATTATTTTTGGATGTGTCTAATGGTTTCCAACAAAAAAAAAAAAAAAAAAAAACTGATTCTTAAATGTTTATTTTTATTAAAAAAAAGTGCACTGTAAATTTTTATCCACACCTAATACACACATAATCTGTATAATTCAGTAAAAGAGTTTTTACTTGCTATTAATAAGCTGAAAGTTAAATCTTGTGTAAAGCTTAAGAAGAGACTTGAATCAACTGAAATGTAGTTCTACAGAATGAGGATACCATGGATAGAATATGTGAGCAACGACAAAGTTTTTCGAGAAAATAGAAACAAAAAGGAAACATACTTAACATCAGGAAGATATAGTTGAACTTTCTATGGTATATAGTGAGAAAAGAAGGCTTGGAAAATCTGATGTTCACAAGACACATTGAAGGCAAGAGCAAAACAATGCATAACATACTTAGTATGTTTCAGTGAATGGATGGAAGAACAGGGTTTAGGAGAAATAAGAAAAGGGCAAAATTTATTAAGAGCTACAAAAAACAGGAATTTGTGGAGAGCCATGATCGCCTAAGTCCGGAGTGGACACGGCACGTATAGAAGAAGAACTTACCTTGATTGTACTCTCAGGTAATTGAAGATCAGCAGCCAACTCACAGCGTTTGGGCCTGGACAGGTAATTCTCTCGACTAAACTCTTTTTCGAGCCGCGAGATTTGTTCTTTGGTGAACGCAGTACGATAACGTCGAGCCTGGATGTCGTCCACTTTAAGTTCTAGGAGAAGAGAAATGAAAAATATGGCCATGTAATTTCTCACAGACAACAAGTCTTATTTCAGAAAAAATGTTCAATATGAAATATTAAGAAATTAAGAAAATTAAATTGTGATATCTTTGTGTAATTGCTTGTAAAAAATGGAAGATACTCCTTAAATAGATTTGAAATATCATATATGAACATATTTGAGATTTGGTCCATTGTATCGTAATGGACTTTTTCTTTCTTTCCAGAATCTCTTATGAGTCTACCATTCTTGTGCACATTGAAGATTGTTACCACATCGAGCCTGTTGAGCAAAAAATCTTTGACAAAATCTAAAAAATCTGCAATGTTATCGGTCTTGATCTAGCATCTCGGCTTCTATCACTTTCCACCTGCTGCATCGCGACTTTCCTGTGTTGTTTCTATAAATATTTTCATGGCAACTGTTCTGATAAGTTTTCCTCTTTGGTATCTGGACTTCTTGAATTTAAGCATAGTACTAGACTGGCGATCAGGCCATACCATTTGACTATTGAAATTAATGCAACCGTAAGTTCTATTCTAATAGTTTCTTCTTTCGCGCTTCATTATCTTTTTTAACTTACAAATTGTTATCTGAGGACGGGATATCCAATGTCCCCTGTCTTAGTCTTAAGACTTTGCACCTAAAGTGTATATGTAAGAATCGTTCTTTTCATCACATTAAGTGCAACATTACTTTACGGTTACCGACCTGGAAAACAATCAGCGAATCAACTTCAAATCTCGCCTAAGGATGTGTCTATATTCACTTCAAAAAATGTCCTTACAAAAGACATGAATTCACATCTCTCTGTCAAATGTCCAGATATTTCTCCTAACAAAATAACTGATTTGACTAAGGAAGGGCGGGCTCTTGGCTAAAACCCGTTCCCATAATTGTCTTACGACCCATGGCAGTAGCAATAGAAAAACTAATAGCCCTCATCTACTTTCCGTACTGGGTATGACGATAGACTACATACGCGTCCTGGGTAAGACAATGAGCTACGTCTAACAGCAAGGCCTCTGATCAGGAGGTTTTGAGGAGAGTGAAACCAAATCTTAATTGCTGGTGTTCCCAGGTCTACCTTGACCCGGGGTGATAGCACCTGTTAGGGTTCTAGCTATGGGCAAATAGTTAACAACCAAACTTGTGTAAAAAAAGGTTTTAATACCAGAAATACTTTATAATAAAAAAAATTATTACCAGCAATAATTTTTGAAAGAAAAATTATCATCAGCAATACTTAAAAAAAAAACAAATACCAGCAATACAAACAGCTATACATACTTTGAAAAAATAAGACCAGAAATAGATTTTTGAAGAAAAACATATTACCAGCAAAAAAAATTAAATAATCCATTGAGGTTGATATGCCGTTAAACAAAATAAACCAAACCAATCTAAACTAAAGAATACATATCCTATTCATACGAATCTATCCTAAAAATGTTGTCGGCATAAAATAACCCATTGAGGTTGATATGCCGTTAAACAAAATAAACCAAACCAATCTAAACCAAAGAATACATATTCTATTCATACGAACCTATCCTAAAAATGTTGTTGGCATTAAATAACCCATTGAGGTTGACATGCCGTAAAACAAGATAAACCAAACCAATCTAAACCAAAGAATACATATTCTATTCATACGAACCTATCCTAAAAATGTTGTCGGCATAAAATAACCCATTGAGGTTGATATGCCGTAAAACAAGATAAACCAAACCAATCTAAACCAAAGAATACATATTCTATTCATACGAATCTATCCTAAAAATGTTGTCGGCATTAAATAACCCATTGAGGTTGATATGCCGTAAAACAAAACAAAGCAAACAAACCAAACCTCATCAACTTTGGCAAGAGTTAATAAGATTTCCCTATCGTATTTTTATAGATGATAATCTTTATTCATGTCTGAGCCAAAACAGAATGAGACCCTGTCTAATATGATGATGATCTTTTATAAAAGTGATTCTAAAAGACCCCTAAAGTTTGAATCTGGGATTCAAACTAACTATAGTAGGTTATATGATGGTGGTTATGCTGATTCAACATGTTCATCTAACACATCACATATGTCTCCCCGTCTCCTATTATTGAAATCAAAACTGTTTGGTAATAAAGTAAAGATTTTTTTCATATTCCTGAAACAATTACTGTACTGCTTATTCAGCCTTTCTTGATCGATATATTCTTCAGTCTTTCCCGATCGATATATTCTTCAGCCTTTCCCGATCGATATATTCTTCGGCCTTTCTCAGCCGATACATTCTTCAGCCTTTCTTAACAGATAAATTCTTCAGCATTTTATAGCTGAAGAATTCTCTTTCTTGTAATTTTGTGAAGTCAGTTATGCAAAACTCACAAAATGACCACTTTAAAAAGAAACGGTGAAAATAAATGTTGGATGTTATTCTTAAATTCTTCAGACTTATTCGAGTCCATGATTGCATTTGTGTCCTTAGCCTTTTAAATGAAAAACATTGGATTGGCCAAAATGCTTGTTCTGTGTTTGCCATTAGGAGCGTTTAGTCTTATCGAAATTTTTAAAAATCGCTTTTGATAGTACTATGACAGCTATATAATCATTGTGTATTTTTTAATGGCTTATTTTTTTTATTTCTAATATTGAAAATGAAAGAAAAAAGGTAATGTTTTTGGTAAAATAAGCATTGATCTTTTACGAAATGCAAGACGCAATCCGTACACAAAAGATTGTAAGGTTTATGGAGAAGGTACTGTAATGATTAAATGTGGCAAAAATGGTTTGCAAAGTTTTACGTTGGAGATTAATAGCTGAATGATGGTTTTTTTATCGAGTAAATTAGTTGAGGCTGATAACGTGTAAATGAAAACAGTACACTTGAAAACAGTCAATGATGTACACCCACCCTGTAGGGAATAGGGGATGGTTTCGACGGGTGGCTTGCTAACCATTTAAGGAATAAAACAAACTGTGATAGGCAATGTTAACTGTATACTTGGCAACTGTGGTGAAATGCAAGAGAGTGTCGGGTGAGAAAATAAACCATTACTAATCGGTCTCCATCCAGAATAAAGGATGGTGATGTATATATTGTAGGATTAGATAGAGGTTCTCTATTAGGTTGAAAGTAGAAATCAACGAAAACCTCTGGAAAATTAATCATTTATTTCGGTTTTTAAAGAATTCTCCTAATGGAAAAATATGAAGGATGGAATTATAAAGTTGCCTGAAGTTGCCTGAAGTTGCCTGGAAGAATTTAGTGGAATAAAACGGTAACGATGATTATTAATGTTAACGTGGAATATGACATTAAAAGTTCACTTATATTTTTATTTAATAAACCAAACATTTTACGTTTCCCATTACATGACAGTTTTGATGAATTGCAGTTATAATTAACTTAGCAAGAAAAGAGGTTTGACTATTTATTGCAACCAGATTTCCAATGACAGTCATTTTAAAATCTTTTACAATCTTTTTACAATTGGGCGTTTAAAAATTGCTAAATTGTAGAACCAGACAAAATAAAATTCAGTTTCAGGACTTAAATATACAACCAGTTTATTTTTGGATCCTGTAGTCGATTAATACTTCAGCATGAGAGCCGGTCATTTTAGTAAGAAGATATTTACGGAGATAGAATTGCTAGCCCCACGCCATTACTTCTTTTGCTATTTTTATCTGTAGATGGGGTACTTTGGAGTTGATTCCACTTATTATTTTTCATTCAAAGCTGTTTTTCTCGTAGCCTAGTTGCCAACCAAGGCAAGAAAACACAGTCTGCCTTACCATTTTAGCTGCAGATGCGGAAGTTTGGTTTGGTTTATTTTGTTTTATGGCATATCAAACACAATGGGGTATTTAATACTGACAAAATTTTGATTGTTGGTAATATTTTTTTCCAAAAATCTATTTCTGGTTGGTTGGTTGTTTTGTTTGATGACATATCAAAACCTCAGTGGGTCATTTAATGCTAAGATGATTTTAAAATAGATTCATAGCGATAGTTTAGTTTGTTTTGTTTTATGACATATCAAAACCTCAATGGGTCATTTAATGCCAACAAAATTTTGAAATAGATTCATAGCGATAGTTTAGTTTGTTTTGTTCTGTTTTACGGCATATCAACCTCAATGGGTTATTTAATGCCAACAAAATTGTTGTTGCTGGTAATATTTTTTTTCCTTCATAAATCTATTTTCGGTAATATTTTTTCTTCAAAAATGTATTGCTGGCAATAATTTTTTAAAAGAAGTATTTCTGGTAATAAAATCTATTTTTACACTTTCATAGTGTTATGACACCAGTTTGGGGGTTAAATATTTGCCCATAGCTGGGACCCTAACAGGTACTACCACCCCGGGCCAGGGTGGACCTGGGAACACCAGCAATTGAGGGGTGGTTCCACGCTCCTCAAAACCTCCTGATCTGGATGTAGTTTATCGTCTTACCCAGGACGCGGATTTAGTTTATCGTCATACCCAGGACGGGTAGATGGGGAAGTAGAAAATGGTTCCTACCTTTCCCAAATGGAACATTGCGAAGTTAATATAAAACGTTTCAGCTGGAATTTGAATTTGGCTTGTCAGTTCCATTTTTATACAGTTAAGCCTTAGCGATAAACGTCTACTATTGAAATTAATTACTTTGATTCCAGTGAATAGGTTTCTTATTGTTTAAAAATCAGTGACGCAATTTTATTGACAGTGCTGGTTATGTTAATTAAGTCTTGTATAAGGTCACAAGTGTCACAAGTCACTCATTGGGGATCGAACTTATTACACATTAATTATAGTTTACAAAATGAGCACACTAGCAACTGCCTCATGGTGATACATCCACTTCTATACACTTGATGAGGTTAGAATTTAGCGTTAATTTTTAGCTAACATATATTTAAAAAAAGATGAAAAATAATGTTGAAACATTTGTCGATTATATAAATAAAACACTTGCCTTTTATTTTTTTTCTGGGAAATTCCTCAGGCCACATAT